CACATTGCGAGTAAATACACTTACTCGAAAGAATATTTTATTTCTATCAATAAGAACTGACGTGTATTCTACCCTGAGTGACTAAACTACAGCTTTCTATACAGTGACCATTTCTAATCAGATACAAGTAGAATGCTTTATTTGCAGGGAAACAGTTAACAATGGATTTATTCACAATTTGGCATCAATGCTTGAAATCATTATAATTTTTCAGTTCATTCAATGTGTATGATGTTTTGAGAATTAGTGAGATTTAGTCAACTCACATTGTTGAAATCCTGAACAAGGATTTCTGATTCTCTATTGAGAACCTGGATAGATTGTTTCAATAAAGCTGATAATGTTTAGTTTATTGATTTATATTTGAATGGTGATTAGATGTGACAGTCAGAATACAAATTTCATCACACAAATGAGTCGTCAATTAGTTGTTGAATGATGTGTACTCATCACTCTGATTGCCCAATTGGTAACACGTGTTCAAATGATTGTACAAATGCGAATTGTGAATAACTGATTGTGGAATCCTCTTCTGTCATCACTACTGACAACATTGTATAATGAATAGATTGATGTTATTAAATGAATGTTACTGTTTTAATTATTCAGAAGATCTCCGAGGTTAATGGATTGAGTACACCAACACCCATTATTCCAAATGAAAGCACTTTGATGAGCACCGAAGTTCAGTTAACTGAAAAAGTCAACGAAACTGTCGAAGAAACCGGTGAAGACTCGGTAAATATTTATTATTTTGTAATTCATGCTACGTTTTTCGTGTGACAAAGCTAATAGATTTATTGAAAGTAACGATCACGATACTCATGACTTGAAAGTTAATGATTGCCGTGTCGAGGTAACTACTTCTTAAACTTATCAGGTTGTTTTCAATGTCACCAAGTTCCACATTGCGAGTAAATACACTTACTCGAAAGAATATTTTATTTCTATCAATAAGAACTGACGTGTATTCTACCCTGAGTGACTAAACTACAGCTTTCTATACAGTGACCATTTCTAATCAGATACAAGTAGAATGCTTTATTTGCAGGGAAACAGTTAACAATGGATTTATTCACAATTTGGCATCAATGCTTGAAATCATTATAATTTTTCAGTTCATTCAATGTGTATGATGTTTTGAGAATTAGTGAGATTTAGTCAACTCACATTGTTGAAATCCTGAACAAGGATTTCTGATTCTCTATTGAGAACCTGGATAGATTGTTTCAATAAAGCTGATAATGTTTAGTTTATTGATTTATATTTGAATGGTGATTAGATGTGACAGTCAGAATACAAATTTCATCACACAAATGAGTCGTCAATTAGTTGTTGAATGATGTGTACTCATCACTCTGATTGCCCAATTGGTAACACGTGTTCAAATGATTGTACAAATGCGAATTGTGAATAACTGATTGTGGAATCCTCTTCTGTCATCACTACTGACAACATTGTATAATGAATAGATTGATGTTATTAAATGAATGTTACTGTTTTAATTATTCAGAAGATCTCCGAGGTTAATGGATTGAGTACACCAACACCCATTATTCCAAATGAAAGCACTTTGATGAGCACCGAAGTTCAGTTAACTGAAAAAGTCAACGAAACTGTCGAAGAAACCGGTGAAGACTCGGTAAATATTTATTATTTTGTAATTCATGCTACGTTTTTCGTGTGACAAAGCTAATAGATTTATTGAAAGTAACGATCACGATACTCATGACTTGAAAGTTAATGATTGCCGTGTCGAGGTAACTACTTCTTAAACTTATCAGGTTGTTTTCAATGTCACCAAGTTCCACATTGCGAGTAAATACACTTACTCGAAAGAATATTTTATTTCTATCAATAAGAACTGTGGTGTATTCTACCCTGAGTGACTAAACTACAGCTTTCTATACAGTGACCATTTCTAATCAGATACAAGTAGAATGCTTTATTTGCAGGGAAACAGTTAACAATGGATTTATTCACAATTTGGCATCAATGCTTGAAATCATTATAATTTTTCAGTTCATTCAATGTGTATGATGTTTTGAGAATTAGTGAGATTTAGTCAACTCACATTGTTGAAATCCTGAACAAGGATTTCTGATTCTCTATTGAGAACCTGGATAGATTGTTTCAATAAAGCTGATAATGTTTAGTTTATTGATTTATATTTGAATGGTGATTAGATGTGACAGTCAGAATACAAATTTCATCACACAAATGAGTCGTCAATTAGTTGTTGAATGATGTGTACTCATCACTCTGATTGCCCAATTGGTAACACGTGTTCAAATGATTGTACAAATGCGAATTGTGAATAACTGATTGTGGAATCCTCTTCTGTCATCACTACTGACAACATTGTATAATGAATAGATTGATGTTATTAAATGAATGTTACTGTTTTAATTATTCAGAAGATCTCCGAGGTTAATGAATTGAGTACACCAACACCCATTATTCCAAATGAAAGCACTTTGATGAGCACCGAAGTTCAGTTAACTGAAAAAGTCAACGAAACTGTCGAAGAAACCGGTGAAGACTCGGTAAATATTTATTATTTTGTAATTCATGCTACGTTTTTCGTGTGACAAAGCTAATAGATTTATTGAAAGTAACGATCACGATACTCATGACTTGAAAGTTAATGATTGCCGTGTCGAGGTAACTACTTCTTAAACTTATCAGGTTGTTTTCAATGTCACCAAGTTCCACATTGCGAGTAAATACACTTACTCGAAAGAATATTTTATTTCTATCAATAAGAACTGACGTGTATTCTACCCTGAGTGACTAAACTACAGCTTTCTATACAGTGACCATTTCTAATCAGATACAAGTAGAATGCTTTATTTGCTTGGAAACTGTGACGGCGGACCACCGGTTTGCTCGAGTAAGCTTTGAGAGGCTCATAAGTAGCCGAAGACGTTCCATCCAATCACCTTTCGGAAGAATGTTCTAGAATTCCAACGTGTAGCTTCCCCATTGGATAATGCTTATAACCCCCTGTACGCGGATTGGAAGACTGTAATGATGATTTCGTTCTCACTAAAAACTATAAATACCTGACCATTTTTGTACTATGTTTGACACTGTTTGGAATAATATTCCTTTCGTTAGTCTTCTGTCTTCTTGTTGCGACATGGAAGGGTTTGGTGTTCTAGTGCTCAGTTATACGCGGTTCTATCAAGAAAAATCAGCTTTTTCAAGTTTTAACATCTGGCGACGGTTTATTGTATCAATATGTCACTTACCTTGGAACAATTTGAAGCCTTATTGGAACGCCAAGAATAGTTCCAGATGCGCATGTTAGAGATGTTAACGCAGAAAATGAACCTGGATCAAAAAGAAGTTACAGATGATCCCTTCAAATCTCATGTTGACCAGATTGTTAATTCTATCCATGAATTTAATTTTGATGGTTCAGCTGGCATTACTTTTGAAACTTGGTTCAAGAAATATGAAGATTTGTTCAAGGTCGACCTCAAAAAACTTGATGACGCCGCTAAGATCAGAATACTCTTGCGAAAACTTGGAACTGTTGAACATGAACGTTACAGTAACTTTATCCTTCCACAGAATCCAAGAGATTTTTCTTTTGATGCAAAGATTGAAATTTTGTAGCAAATCTTTGCTGAACAGTCATCCTTGTTTAATATTCGTTATCAATGTCTCAAGATGACAAAAGCAGCTGATGATGACTGGGTGAAACATGCGGGTTTAGTAAACCGTGAATGTGAGCGTTTCAAACTATCTGCAATGACAGAAGACCAGTTTAAGTGTCTCGTATTTGTGTGCAGCCTCCAATCTCCTGAAGATGCCGATATTAGAACTAGAATTTTGAGTAAAATTGAACAATGTCCGAATATGACACTACAAGAAGTAACCGCAGAGTGCCAGAGATTGGTGAACCTAAAGCATGACACTTCGATGGTCAAAAATAATGGCCAGTTGCCATACGTTCGTGCTGTAAGCGGAAAGAATGATTCTTGCTCAAGAAAGACATCGCACACAGATAATCAGCCTTCATCTCCATGTTGGTCTTGTGGTGGTTGGCATTATAAAAGGTTCTGTCCATATAAAGAACATTGTTGTAGCAAGTGTCATCGCAAGGGACATAAAGAAAACTGCTGCAGAAAAAGAACCCATAAACGACATTCTTTGAAACCCTACTCGAAGAAATACAGATTTAGTGCTCGAACTAACAAAATATTGGTATCACATAATCGAGCACGAATTTGCCGCCAAAGAAAGTATGTAAACGTGGATATAAATAAAAAGCGTGCCCGCCTGCAACTCGACACCGCTTCTGACATCACACTTATTAGTCGGAGAACTTGGAGTCTTATCGGTAAACCACAGGTGCTCCCAACAACCCAGTTAGCTGACAGCGCATCTGGAGGAAAACTAAATATTGTTGGAGAGGTTCGTTGTACAGTCTCGAAAGGAAATGCGAAAACGAATGCAACTTTATATCTTACACAGAATCCAGGACTAGATTTGCTAGGTCTAGACTTGATAGAAGCACTTCAATTAGCAAATCACCCCATTAACCACATATGCAGCGCAGTGAGAACCAGTAAACCTGTGGAAAAGGATCTGAAGAGTGTTGTATTGGAAAGACACAGTCAAGTGTTTACGGAAGAGTTGGGGGAATGCAAAAAGGTTAAAGCACTATTGATTCTTAAACAAGGAGTCACCCCCGTCTTCAGACCAAAACGTCCGGTACCCTATGCAGCACTACCTATTGTTGAACAAGAATTAGAGCGTCTGCAAATAAGTGGAATAATCGAACCAGTAAACTTTCTGATTGGGCAGCTCCAATAGTGGTTGTTAAAAAGCCTAATGGAAGTATCCGGTTATGTGCAGATTATTCGACTGGATTAAATGAAGCGCTTGAAGCCCATCAATACCCATTGCCGGTACCAGAGGATTTATTTGCGAAACTGAATGGGGGTAAGTATTTTGCGAAATTACACCTCTCAGACGCTTATCTACAGATTCCGGTAGCGGATGAGTGTAAGCATTACTTGACAATAAACACTCACAAGGGATTGTTCCGATATAACCGACTTCCTTTTGGAGTAAAGACTGCCCCTTCAATCTTCCAACAAGTTATGGACACTATGTTACAAGACATTCCTGGTACCGCGGCTTATCTCGATGATATATTGATCATGGGTACAGACTATGCTGATTTAGAGAATAAGGTGGATACGGTTCTCAGATTATGGATTAAGACTGCGTGCCGAAAAATGTGATTTTTACATGGAGCAAGTCCGGTATTTGGGATCCATAATTGATAAAAACGGGAGAAAACCTGATCCTGAAAATGTCGAAGCCATTAAGTCCATGCCTCCACCGACGGATGTGTCAACTTTACGTTCTTTCTTGGGAATGGTTAGTCATTATGGAGTTTTTCTGCCAGATCTGCATCGCCATCGTGCTCCTCTTAATTGCTTATTGAAAAAGGATACTAAATGGTTCTGGTCAACTGAATGCCAAGGAGCATTCCTAAAACTGAAGCAGCTTCTATCATCGAATCTTCTCCTTACACACTATGATCCCGATCTTCCAATTATAGTCGCAGCAGATGCGTCGAACTACGGAATTGGAGCAGTAATTTCACATGCCTTCCCTGACGGTTCTGAGAAAGCAATCGCTCACGCTGCAAGATCTCTGACTATGACTGAAAGAAACTACAGTCAAATAGAAAAAGAAGCCCTCGCGATTATATTTGCTGTAAAAAAGTTCCACAAGATGTTGTTTGGTCGGCAGTTCACCTTACTTACAGACCATACACCTTTACTGACAGTTTTTGGATCTAAAAAAGGCATCCCGGTATATACAGCAAACCGACTACAGAGATGGGCTACCACACTGTTGGGTTATGATTTCAAGATAAATTATCAACCAACAACGGATTTCGGACAGGCAGATGCACTCTCAAGATTGATTGGTCTGCATGAAAAACAAGAAGAAGAGGTGCTTGTAGCTGCTATAGATGTCGAGGCCGAGGTTCACAAAATATTGTCAGACGCAGTTTCCGGACTCCCGGTCACATTTGAAGCAATTAAAGAGGCCAGCAAGAAGGATAATATATTAAAGATTGTTCGCCATTGCATACTCAATAAATGGCCTTCATCGAGATTACACGGAGAACTCTTACAATACTTTCGTCGACGAGAGTCATTAACAGTTGTCGATTCATGTATACTGTTTGGCCATCGTATCGTTATCCCCAGAAATCTTCGACACCAAGTCATTAAACAGTTCCACAGCGGGCATCCGGGGATAAGTAAAATGAAGTCACTAGCTCGTAGCTATGCATACTGGCCATCAATGGACCATGAGATAGAGCAAAAATGTCGCAGCTGTTGGTCCTGTCAAGAGGCTGCAAAGAATCCAACGAGAGCTGAGCCACAACCATGGCCTAAACCGGACGGGTCTTGGCAAAGAATACATGCTGATTTCGCTGGACCGATACAAGGCAGGAATTACTTAGTTGTTGTAGATGCTTTCACAAAATGGCCGGAAGTATATGACGTGCCGAATACGACTTCAGAGAGTACCATAAGAAGATTGTCAAGATTGTTTGCCTGTTTTGGGGTTCCAGAGATCTTAGTGACTGACAATGGTACTCAGTTTATGTCATCTGCCTTCAAACGCTTCTGCAACGAGAATGGCATATTGCATCTACAATCTCCTCCATACCATCCTCAGTCGAATGGCCAGGCAGAAAGATTCGTGGATACAATTAAAAGAGCTCTGGTCAAAGGGGGAGGTGACGGTGTCCCGGAACAAGTGATTAATAAGTTCTTGATGTCTTACAGAGTTACCCCTAATCCGGCAGTACCAGAAGGAATGTCTCCGGCCGAGTGTATGTTCGGAAGGAAAATCCGGACAGTTTTTAACAGTATGTTGCCGCCCAGAAAGACAAATAAACCCACGAATGAAAATCGTAAGGTCAATCGTAGCTTCCAGGTGGGTGAAAAGGTACTTGTCAGATCGTATCAAGGTAATAGGAAGTGGGAACCAGGTGTCATAGAACGTCGAATCGGAAATGTGCTGTACGTAGTCCGGAAAGATGTCGGGAAATGCATAAGACATATAAATCAAATGCAAAGAAATGATAGTATAGTGGTCACAGAAAACCGGCTTCCATTTCAATTGCTCGTTGATTCATCTCAGAAGAACCATCATGAGCGCGAATATCGAAAAAACAAACGACGCAGAGAGAAAGCTGTACAACCCTCGAGAGTAATGAACCGCAAGAGGAATGCGACACCCAAGCTTCAGGTGGATCCAAAAAAAATCGTATACAACGGACTTTAAAGGGGGGAGGTGTGACGACGGACTACCGGTGAACTCGAGGAAGCTGAAAGAGGCTCATAAGGAGCCGAAGACGTTCCATCCAATCACCTTTCGGAAGAATGTTCTAGAATTCCAACGTGTAGCTTCCCCATTGGATGATGCTAATAACCCCCTGTACGCGGATTGGAAGACTGTAATGATGATTTCGTTCTCATTAAAAACTATAAATACCTGACCATTTTTGTACTATGTTTGACACTGTTTGGAATAATATTCCCTTCGTTAGTCTTCTGTCTTCTTGTTGCGACATGGAAGGGTTTGGTGTTCTAGTGCTCAGTTATACGCGGTTGTATCAAGAAAAATCAGCTTTTTCAAAGTTATAACAGAAACAGTTAACAATGGATTTATTCACAATTTGGCATCAATGCTTGAAATCATTATAATTTTTCAGTTCATTCAATGTGTATGATGTTTTGAGAATTAGTGAGATTTAGTCAACTCACATTGTTGAAATCCTGAACAAGGATTTCTGATTCTCTATTGAGAACCTGGATAGATTGTTTCAATAAAGCTGATAATGTTTAGTTTATTGATTTATATTTGAATGGTGATTAGATGTGACAGTCAGAATACAAATTTCATCACACAAATGAGTCGTCAATTAGTTGTTGAATGATGTGTACTCATCACTCTGATTGCCCAATTGGTAACACGTGTTCAAATGATTGTACAAATGCGAATTGTGAATAACTGATTGTGGAATCCTCTTCTGTCATCACTACTGACAACATTGTATAATGAATAGATTGATGTTATTAAATGAATGTTACTGTTTTAATTATTCAGAAGATCTCCGAGGTTAATGAATTGAGTACACCAACACCCATTATTCCAAATGAAAGCACTTTGATGAGCACCGAAGTTCAGTTAACTGAAAAGCTCAATGAAACTACCGAGGGAAGCGATCAACACTCGGTAAATATTTATTATTTGGTAACTCATGCTACATTTTTTATTTTTCTTCAGAATGTCACAGTTGAAATAGGCAGAGTGGAAAGTCAGAGCGAAACATCCCTCTACTTATATATCGTGATACCATTATTCGTATCATTATTTATTTTGTGTATCTGTGGTATTGTTTGGAGATACTACTATGTAAAAAGAAGAAGCAATGAATGATTCATAGAAGCATCTCATATCTCATTTGAAATATTCTGACACGGTTTTTTCTATTTGCTGTTTCATTTGTAAACTTTAATTTTCATTATTCGTTTCTATAATTCGTTGAATTTCTTCATGGAATTCTTATACTTGATTATGTAATATCTGATGCACTTTTATTGATTAAATAATAAACACAGTTTTTATTAATTACGTCATTGTTTTCATTCAACTGAACCAACTGACCTTTTTATAAGAGCTTCACAATATTTATTTTGAAGTTTAGTAGTTTTGTGTATTCGTGATTTTGCGACAACTGCAATTAACAATGAGTCCATTGTGAATGTTTATTCTGATGAATTCTCATCACTAGGAAATATCACTTCGTATTAACAACAGTGAATGTTATAAAGTGAGTCGTCGAAGTATCTTATCAATACAAAATTAGGAACTTCCGTTGTTGGTCACTTGATTATTCATTGCTCAATATATTCTGAGTGACAAGCTATTTTAACTCAGAGTCATCAAGACTAATTGTGTTTTCTTCCGTTATTTTATTATTGACACGGCCAGCATACGGTCACTTGTTTCACTCAAAGCTTAGTCTTTGGAAAGGTCTTAACTAGAGTTGTCTTTATCAGGTTCATCCAACATTCCGATGCTCTGATTTAAGAATTGATATGTGCATTCAAAAAATGATGTAGAGGGATGAGCAGTCAGCGTTTCACATTGAATTCCAATTTTACGGGACACGTATACTCCACAGTTGATGCTGGAGTTGTTTTCAGTTAAGTTCATTATTCTGAAGTGTGCTGTGGAACACATTTCAAGGACGTTTGTCTACAGACCTCTGAAGATAAATTTTTAACAGTTTTAACAAGGATTGACAGTCTTTGTGACCTATTGAAGCACAACTACTTACTGCTTGGTTTGCGTCGTTCATCAACCGTATTTCAGGAAAAGACATAAACCTCAGTCAGTGAACTAAGAAGTGTTAAGGCCTTTGTATCCCTCATGAAATATCGTTTGTTCAGAGACATGCATTTGTCTTACATTATCTGGTTAAGAAAATTATGTCGTAATTCTAAGTGGGTGATCATTTGATGTATTTGGTTTCGAAAGGCTAGATCAACACTTGACGTTTATCATTTTGAAATTGACATACAGCGACCAGCTTTACTTATAAATTAGTCTCCTGACAAAGCTCTCAAAGACTTACACTACAGTAGACGCTCTTCAGTATCGTGAACGTTTTGTTCCCGATTTCCTCTAACGTGACAGTTGTATTTTTAATTTCAACATCAAACTCTTTTTTATGAAGTGCGGAACAAGAGTCTTGTTTTATAAATTCGCCAAAAAATTTGCTTAAGTGATGGTGTACATTCAACTTACTCCCCTTCTGTAGATTTTGTATTTACTACCTCGGATGTTGTTATGTTTCCGAGGGATTGAACGATACTTGAGACGTATACAAATGGGCACCACTCACCGTTGAAGATCTAATCTGAAACGTGAAATTCCGGACTATTTTGCCAAGTGTCATTGATTATCCACAGGTTATGATGGCATTTTGGCTCAAACGATTATGCCGTTATTCATACTTTATTATATAAATTCGTTTTTGGCTGTCCCTATAGAGGACATTTAGTGTTGGAACAATTGCAAATTAACAAGGCTGACATCTTGGCGGTCAGAGATACATTCAAGCATGTATCGCACAGTGAACACTTGTGGAAGATATTAT